ATTGCTTCCTCTTTTTTTTTTTTTTTTGAGATGAAGTCTCACTGTGTCGCCCAGGCTGGAGTGCAATGGTGATTCTCCTGCCTCAGCCTCCTGAGTAGCTGGGATTACAGGCACCCACCACCACGGCCAGATATATATATATTTTTTTTGTGTTTTTAGTAGAGACGGCATCTCACCATGTTGGCCAGGGGCTGGTCTTGAACTCCTGACCTCCAGTGATCCACCCGCCTTGGCCTCCCAAAGTGTTGGGATTACAGGAGTGAGCCACTGCGCGCGGTCTTTGCTTCCTCTTTTTATCCTGAAGTTTGTTTTTTACATGAGCACAAGTGTATCTACCTCCTTAAAGATCAAATAGCAATTTATAGATTACAGTATAGCATAACTTCATCTATGTAACTAGTCCGTATGGATGGTGGACGAGTGTTTCCAGTTTTTGCTATCATAAACAATACTGCACAGACATTTTACTCACATCTTTGCATATATTTACAAGTTTATTCGCAGCAGGAATTATTAGCTGGTTCAAAGGAAAATTCATACGTGCTTTTTTTTTTCTTTTTTTTGAGACAGAGTCTTGCTCTGTGGAGTGCAGTGGGGCAATCTTGGCTTACTGCAACCTCTGTCTCCCAGGTTCAAGTGATCCTTCTGACTCAGACTCCCAAGTAGTTGGGATCACAGGCGCCCGCCACCACCATGCCCAGTGAATTTTTGTATTTTTAGTATAGATGAGGTTTCACCATGCTTTCCAGGCTGGTCTCAAACTCCTGACCTCAGGTGATCCACCCACCTCAGCCTCCCGAAGTGCTGGGATTACAGGCGTGAGCCACCGCGCCTGGCCTGTTTCCCTATAACATCTTTACTACCACTGGGTGATATTGAATTTTTAAAGCTTTGCCCAATCTGCTAGGTTGTTTGGATTTTGTGTTGCTCAGAGTACATTTGAGTAAGCTTGTACAAATGTTTATCAGCCCTTTGGACCAGCTTCATATTTTCACCAATATACATAGCCAGGACACCCTCCTGAAAAACCGCCGCAAACCGCAGCGGCGCACCTCTCTTTCCTGCCTCCAGCTAATGTTTTCCCTTCCACTTGGGTCTCTACAGGCTTCTAGAATAATTTTTTCCACAAGAAAAGCTGGTGATATTCCAAACCCTTGAGTGGCCTCCTCACTCACACCTCAGAGGATAAACAGCATAAACTGTTTTTCCTGTCTTCTTCTTTATTTATTTTTCTCAGGCCATTCTCCCTTACAAGTTTGTTTTGTTTTGTTTGTTGCGTGTGTGTGTCTGTGTGTGTGTGTGTGTGTGTCTGTGTTTTCGAGACAGAGTCTCGCTCTGTTGCCTAGGCTGAAGTGCAGTGGTGTGATCATGGCTCAACCTCCTGGACTGAAGCTATTCTCCCACCTCAGCCTCCTGAGTATCTGGGACTACAGGCACACAGAATTATGCCCAGCTAATTTTTTTAAAGTTTTTTTTTTTTTTTTTTTTTTTTTTTTTTTTTTTTTAAGGGGCCAGGCTCACAACTTTTTTTTTAGGGTCCAGGCTCACAACTGTAATCCCAGCACCTTGGGAGGCCGAGGCGGGCCCCTGTCTCTACTATCTCTACTAAAAATACAAAAATTAGCACGACATGGTGGCCGTAGTCTGTAATCCCAGCTATTCGGGAGGTTGAGGCAGGAGAATCTCTAGAACCCGGGAGGCAGAGGTTGCAGTGATCCGAGATTGCGCCACTGCACTCCAGACTGGGCGACAGAGTGAGACTGCATCCCCCCCCAAAAAAAAATGTGTTTTAGAGATGGGGGTCTCACTATGTGTTGCCCAGGCTGGTCGAACTCCAGGGCTCAAGTGATCCTTCTGCCTCAATCTCCCAAAGTGCTGGGATTACAGGCGCGGGCCACAACAACCAACTAATTTTTGTATTTTTAGTAAAGACGGGTTTGCCATGCTGCCCAGGCTGGTCTTGAACTCCTGACCTCAAGAGATCTGCCCGCCTCGGCCTCTCAAAGTGCTGGGATTACACGTGTAAGCCACTGCATCTGGCATTGTCAAACTTTTTTTGTTCATATCACCCTCCTTAGGAGAAAACCCGAATTATTCTAAAATTGAATTTACATCGACTAAATTAATTTCAATTTAATTACATTTAATATCTCCCTAAAGGCAGAAACTAAATACTTAGGAATAAGATGTCTGATAGAGGTGGCTTTAGAAGACCACAATATCTAAGATTTTTTTTCTCCCTGAAAAGCAGTTTTTTTCCCTGGGGAGTCATCATGAATCACTCCAACTGAGGACGATTGTGCTTAGAGCAAGCAGCTGAGCCATAAACAAGTAAATGCACAAAATTATACCGGAAAGCCAAGAACGCTAAAAAGAAGAGGGAGTGGCGGGGGGCGACTTGGCATCTGAATCATTGAGATTGGGAAAGAAGATAAGGAACAATTTAAGCAAAAGGATTGTTTTCCCTGAGCTTTGGTTTCTTTTTTCTTTTTTTTTTTCTGTTTTAGAGACAGGGGTTCTCACTGTGTTGCCCAAGCTGGTCTCAAACTCCTGGTCTCAAGCGATCCCCACACCTCAGTCTCCCAAAGTGCAGGATTACAGGCATGCGCCACCGGACCCAGTCTGAGCCTCAGTTTCCTCAGCTGTAAAATGGAAGTAATATCCTCCTCACCGTGCTTCATATACAACAAGCACTCAATAAGTGAGCCTTGTTATGATTATTATTATTTATTTTAATTTTACTTATTTTTCTCAGACAGAGTCTCACTCTGCAGCCCAGGCTAGAGTGCAGTGGTGTGATTTCGGCTCACTGCAGCCTCCGCCTCGTGGGTTCAAGCGATCCTCCCGCCTCAGCCTCCCGAGTCGCTGGGATTACAGGTGCCCACCACCTCACGCAGCCTCCGCCTCGTGGGTTCGGCGAGATTCTCCGCTCTCTCAGCCTCCCGAGCCGCTGGGATTACAGGTGCCTGCCCACCACGCCTGCCATAATTTTTTTTTTTTTTTTTTTGAGACAGGTCTCGCTCTGTCGCCAGGAGGACTGTGTGGCGCCCAAATACTGCACCTCCACCTCCCGTGGTTCAAGCGATTCTCCTGCTCAGCCTGCTCCGGTAGCTAGACTACAGACGCGCACTCGCCACGCCCAGCTAATTTTTTTGCAGGTATTTTTTAGTAGGACGGGGTTTCCACGTGGCCAAGCTGGTCTCAACTCCTTACCCTGTGTGATCCGCCCGCCTGATCTCCCAAAGTGAGGGGGATTACAGGCTTGGAGCCACCGCGCCCGCCGCCCTATTTTAATTTTTTTTTTTGAGATGGAGTCTCCTGCGCTCTCTGCCGCCCAGGCTGGGAGTGCAGTGGCCGGATCTCAGCTCACTGCAAGCTCCGCCTCCCGGGTTCAGCCATTCTCTCTGCCTTCAGCCTCCCGAGTAGCTGGGACTGCTGCGGTGCCCGCCAACTCCACCCGGCTAGTTTTTTGTATTTTTGTAGAGACGGCTGTATTAGCCAGGATGGTCTCGATCTCCTGACCTCGTGATCCACCCACCTCGGCCTCCCAAAGTGTTGGGATTACAGGTTTGAGCCAGCCTTTTCCAGGCCCGGCCTAGGACCAGCACTTCGAAATCAGCGTCTGCCCCGCCAGCCCTGCCTGGTACCAGCAGCGTTCAGCAAAGCGTCACACAGTTGCGTGCGCCTCCCACTCCCCGTCCGCAGGTGTCGTTGTGCGCCGCGGCTGGGCCTCTCTAGCGGCGACGGCGGCACCGAAGTCTCGCTTTTCCCACCCACTTCCCGCTCTCTGGGCTGGGCTTTACCGTGGAGAATACTTTTTGCGATGCCTACCGGAGACTTTGAGTGAGTCCGGGATCGCGGAAGGGGGCACGGGAAGCGGTTGGGGTGCTCTGGGAAGTATTATGGGGCCTGGTAAAAGCTGAGGCTGCGGGACCGGGCCTTGCTGGACTTAATCTTCGCTTCCCCACACATTTGTTTCCCGCAGTTCGAAGCCCGTGGGGCCGAACACCAGGTGGAGGAGGAGGGGGGAAGACGGTGAGTGTACCCGGTCGCCTGGGTAATCGCGGCCAGGCCTCGAGCCGGGCGACTGCCGCCGGCTTTCATCTCCCAGTCTGGCACCGTGTTCCCCGTCACGACCAGCCTCTGCCCTGCCATCCTCCTTTGGGACCTGCCTGCGCCAACCTGTGTGTTTCCCTGCTGTCCCCTGTTTCTCCCATGTTACTGCCCAAGTCTCCAGTTGTTGTCTTTTACTCCAGTGAGGAAGTTAAATCTCCTGACCCTGTTCTCACTGCACTGGGTTAGGCTGCATGGCCTTAGCATACCTACCTTCTGCCGAGAATAGTTTCATCCTTGCACCCGAATCCGCCACGGGCTAATTCTGCCCCAGAAGGCAGCGTTGCTTAAATAGTTGCAAAGAAGAACCATTGCTTTGGCTCCTGGGCGCCTTCTTCAGAGCCTCTTGCTGTGTGGCACCATCCAAAGTGCCCTCTTCTCCATTTCTAGGCTGGGGAAGCTCCCTGCCCTGGGAGCGACCCCTCCTCCCCACGCTGCTCTTTGCAGACAAATGTGTCACCAGCGAGCTCCTTTGTGATCCCTGGCCACCAGATACCAGCCCAGCTGTAGTTACTGCCGGGAGGTGAGTGGGAATGCCACTCCTGTTCGGGCTGCCTCTCCAGCCCTGCACGCTGGCCTCCTGATCCCCATGACCCAGGGCTCAGTCCTTCTGTTTTTCCCCTTTCTCCTGGGCCCCACTGCCGCCTCCCAAGGAGGTCATCAACGGAAAATATAAAGACAGTGATAGAGTACAAGATAGATGAGGATGGCAAGAAGTTCAAGGTGAGGGTAGGGGGCAGGGAGTGTAGATCTCTTGTGCTGGGGGCCCTTAGACCAGAAGGCGGGGTGCTGGAGGGGGTTGGTAAAGGGAGATCTCCTGTCCCAGAAGCCTGACCCTGCCTCCCTGCATCCTCAGATTGTCCCACTCTTCAGGATTGAGACCAAAGGCTGCTGCAAGGAGGAAGGTGAGGCGCTCCTTCCTCGTGGCTAACCTGGGAGAATTGGAAACCATGCTCCGGGACCTTTTGTTAAGAGATGGGGTTCTTTTTGAGACAGAATGTCGCTCTGTCCCCAGGCTTCTAGTGCAGTGGCACGATCTGCACATCACTGCAACCTCCGCCCTGGGTTCAAGTGATTCTCCTGCCTCAGCCTCCCGAGTAGCTGGGATTACAGGCATGCGCCACCACGCCCAGCTAATTTTTGTACTTTAGTAGAGACGGTTTTGCCATGTTGGCCAGGCTTGTACTCCTGACCTCACGTGATCCACCTGCCTCTGCCTCCCAAAGTGTTGGGATTTTCACGCTGTGAGCCACTGGCCACCCAGCCGGGCTTAACTCTTTGTACCTATTTTGTTGAAGCTGAACTGAGGCCTGGAGTGCTTGCACTCTCTTGGGACTCTGGAAAGTCCAGGGCATAGAGTCGATGAGGCAATAGCTATTAAATAAATGATGTATCTAATAAAAAAGTTTGATGATAGATATCAAATTATATTAACAAATGTTCACGCCTGTAGTAGCACTTTGGGAGGCCAGGTGGAAGTGATCACAAGGTCAGGAGATCGAGACCATGGTGAAATCCCGTCTGTACCTTCTAAAAATAGAAAAAAATTAGCCGGGCGCAGGTGGGCGGGGCGCCTGTGAGTCCCCAGCTACTCGGGGAGGTCGAGGCAGGAGAATGGCGTGAACCCTGAGGCGGCTTGCAGTGAGCCGCAGATTGTGCCACTGCACTCCAACCTGGGTGACAGAGCGAAAACTTGTCTCAAAAATAAAAATAAAAATAAATGTCACAAATTCGACATAGCCGGGCGCGTGGCGCCGCTTCTTCTGTAATCCCAGCACTTTGGGAGGCCGAGACGGGCGGCGGATCACGAGGTCAGGAGATCGAGACCATCCTGGGCATGGACACGAAACCCGTCTCTACCAAAATACAAAAACTAGCCGGGCGAGGTGGCGGGCGCCGGTAGTCCAGCAGCTACTCCGTGTGAGGCTGAGGCAGGAGAATGGCGTGAAACCCAGGAGGCGGAGCTTGCAGTGAGCCGAGATTGCGCCACTGCACTCCAACCTGGGTGACAGAGAAAGACTCTGTCTCAAAAAAAAATAAAATAAATGTCAAATAAATTAGCATAGGTTTAACATGAGATTTGTTCACAGCACATGAAATCTTGAGCTTGCTGTGGTAGGTTATGCTACTGAGACAGGTGACAAGATCCTGCCACGTGGACCCAGCCGGGCAGAAAGACTCCGTCTCAAAAAAAAAAAAATAAATAAATAAATTCGATTATGTATCGCAGTGAAAGTTAGATTCTTTTTTAATTTTTTTTTTTTTTTTGAGACGGCCCATGCTCTGTAGCCCGGACTGGAGTGCAGTGACCAGATCTCGGCTCACTGCAAGCTCCGCCTCCCGGCTTGGCGCCATTTCCTGCCTCAGCTCCGGAGTAGCTGGGACTACAGGCGCCCGCCACCCGCCCTCTCGGCGTTTTGTATTTTTAGTAGAGACGGGGTTTCACCGTGTTAGCCAGGATGGTCTCATCTCCTGACCTCGTGATCCCATCTCGGCCTCTCGCAAAGTGCTGGGATTGCCAGGCTGAGCCAGCCGCGCCCGGCGACCTCTTTTAATTTTTTTAAAGACACAGGGTCCAGTTCTGTTGCCCAGGTTGGAGTGCAGTGGCACGATCATAGCTTACTGCAGCCTTGAACTCCCAGGCTCAAGCCAACCTGGGATTACAGGTGTGCACTGCCACACCCGGCTAATTTTAATTATTTGTAGATATGGGGTTTCACTACATTGCCCAGGCTGGTCTCCAGCTCCTGGGCTTAAGAGATCCTCCCACCTTTGCCTCTCAAAGTGCTGGGATTACAGGAGGGAGCCACCGGGCCCAGCCGGGGTTAGATTCTTGTTCTTGGCCTGTCAGCCTGGAGGAACAGAGGCAGGAGGTGGTCGCAGCAGTTAGAAGCGTTAGCAATAAATACACTTAGAGCAGCTTGCTGTGCACTTCATTGTAACATACCCCATGCCAAACACCTTGCAGGAAGTGTCTCTCTGATTCAGTCTCCTTAGGAGCCCAGGGAGGCAGGAAGCTTTTGTGGTTCCCATTTGATAAGGGAGGAAGGGAGGAAGCTGAGGCTCAGGTTGTCTAGCTCAAGGGCCCGGAGGTCTGGGTGGACCCCTGCACATCCCTGAGTATCACGCCGTGGTGGGAGCTGGTCCACCAGCCTGCACAGGCCCCAGGCTGTGTAGCTGTCAGCTGGAGCTTGGGCCTGGCGTGTACTCAGGAAATGGGAACTGTCGCCAGGACTATTTGGGGAGTGGTTGAGGAGGATGAAAATGGGGTTTGGGGCCCAGGCACTCTGGGGATGGCTGCTGTAGGTCTAGGGTACCCCACTGTGGAACCCTGCCTGCCCCTGCCTTCAACTGTCCCCCATCCCTCCCTGAGCCCAGAACTGGAAGAAGTTTGGGAACTCAGAGTTTGACCCCCCGGGACCCAATGTGGCCACCACCACTGTCAGTGATGATGTCTCTATGACGTTCATCACCAGCAAAGAGGTAAGCCGGGCAATCAGGTGGGGCTGACATGCTGGGGTGGGGGCAAAGGGGGTCCCTCAGCCGCCTCTGAGCTCCCCACAACCCGCCCCTGCCAGGACCTGAACTGCCAGGAGGAGGAGGACCCCATGAACAAACTCAAGGGCCAGAAGATCGTGTCTTGCCGCATCTGCAAGGGCGACCACTGGACCACCCGCTGCCCCTACAAGGACACGCTGGGTCCCATGCAGAAGGAGCTGGCCGAGCAGCTGGGCCTGTCTACCGGCGAGAAGGAGAAGCTGCCAGGAGGTGCGGGGCTGGGGATGCTGGCTGCCATTGCGGGGGCGGGGGGTCCTGCTGTCAGTGCGCGGGTTCTGTCCCCAGTGCTGCCTTTGTGCTGTCATCTCCCACACGACAGCGTGGCAGGTTTGATGGCGCCCGACTCTCCTCAGGGTGTCTGTGCCTTCCTAATTGGCTGTACCTCCTGTGGTTGGGAGACCGGCGTCTCTCGTATATGTGTGACTTGGCAGCTGTGACTCTGCTGGTGGCCCTATGACTGTCCTGATGGGAGCTGCTGTCGGCCCCAGGGTGCTGACCACCCGCCCTTGTGTGTACACACAGTGTGTGTAGTGTCTCCATTGCATGCCTGTGGCTGTACTGTCTGAATCTTTTGGTGGGATTGCTGGTGGTGAGTGTGAGAGTGGAGACGTCCATTTGTCGCCTCCATGCGAGGGGAACCTGGGCACTGTTCCTGTCGTGTGTCCCGTGCCTGCTGTCGATGTGGATGTGAGGCTGCCATTCCCGTCGCCCGCCCCCCCCCAACCCACCCTCTCTGGGGTGGGGTCAGGGCTCCCTCTTCCTCCGCCATTGTCACTAGCCAGGAGCTCAAATGGTGTCAGCTTCCTAGGTGTCACCTTGGTGTCCTCGTGGCCAACCGGCTGCCTGTGGCTTGGCACACGGTGCCTGCGCTGGGTCAGCACTGAAGCCTGAGCCTTTTGGGGCGGCTGTGTCCCTGTTCCTGTGCCAGGGTGAGGTTGAATTCAGTTGACTGTCTTTTGGTCCTCAGAGCTGGAGCCGGTGCAGGCCACGCAGAACAAGACAGGGAAGTACGTGCCACCAAGCCTGCGCGACGGGGCCAGCCGCCGTGGGGAGTCCATGCAGCCCAACCGCAGAGGTGAGGGGCACCCTGATGCCAGGCTGGTAGGTGGGCATCTCCCGGCACCTCGTAATTATCCCCAAAGCGTGCACACAAGGGCTGGGCAGGGGCCTCCCCCTCACAGTCACCTCCCCTCTCCCACACAGCCGACGACAACGCCACCATCCGTGTCACCAACTTGTCAGAGGACACACGTGAGACCGACCTGCAGGAGCTCTTCCGACCTTTCGGCTCCATTTCCCGCATCTACCTGGCTAAGGACAAGACCACCGGCCAGTCCAAGGTGGGCAGGCAGGCGGGTGCGACGGGGCTGTGTGAGGGTCACCTGTCCTGGGGTCGCCTGTCCTAGTTTGTGCCCCTGAGCCCACCCCGCCCCTGCACAGGGCTTCGCCTTCATCAGCTTCCACCGCCGCGAGGATGCCGCGCGCGCCATCGCCGGGGTGTCCGGCTTCGGCTACGACCACCTCATTCTCAATGTCGAGTGGGCCAAGTAAGACTCCACCCCTACCCCACCCCTCCCCACCCCAGCCCCTGCTCCCCACCTCGTCCCAGCACCTCCACAGAACCTTGGGCCAACCAGTGGCCGTGTGCCAATTTAACAGTCCCCCAGCTGGTTTTGAGGGGATAGTCCTTTATTGTCTTTTTCCAAAACCTGGCAGAGGGGCAGAGGGGTGGCAGCAGAGGGGTGGCAGCTCTTGTGCCTGGGGTCCCTGCCAGTCCGTGGGCCAGGCCTTGAGGCTGGCCAGCTGGCTCGGTGCCCGCTTTGTCCTCCCATTACCCCGTCCTTCTCTGCCCCTAGCCCACCGCAAGGCACCATTTGGGTGTCTGGGGTCTTGGGGCACCCCTGGAGGTCTCATACCCTGCCACCCTCCCCTACCCCAGGCCGTCCACTAACTAAGCAGCTGCCACCGCGTGCTCGGCCCAGGACCCTCGGCGACAGAAGGCAGCCTCTGAGAGAGCGGGCTCCAAGGTCAATAAAAAAGCTCCACTCTCTGCCCAGTCCTGTTTGTTCTCGTGTCTCCAGTTCTGTGGCGGGGGCCAGCGCCTCCCCTCCCCTGGGCATGGTGTGGTCCCTGACGCTGCAGGGAGCCCTGTGGCCAGCGCTGTTGGGTGGGAAAGGCAACTGCTCCTGCCTGGGCTGGGGGAAGGGGCATGTTGGGGCTGGGGTCAGGCGGCGGCTTCAGCTAGGCTACGTCACGGGCTCACCTCATGGGACTGGGGCTCCGACGGTTTAGGGGCGGCTGTGGCATTGAGGGGCAGGGCTTGGCCAGAGTTCTTGGCGTCCTCTGGGTTCCAGCTGTCCTTGTAGCCAGGGCAGTGTCGGCAGCAGCAACCCAGGCTGGGCACCGCGGCCATGTAGAGCAGCGGGTGGACACAGAAGGCCAGGGGCATGAGGCCCCGCATCACCTGGTAGCCCACGTAGGGTCCCAGCTCCAGGGCTGCTGTGGCCTGGGCCACGTCTGCAAAGCTCGGGCAGCGGGTGCTCCAGCGCCGCCGAGCATCCACGTTGAGCACTCGCATGACGTGGTAGGGCACGTAGGAGCTGGCGTAGAGGGCCACGCCACTGGCCACCAGCGCCGCCACGCGCAGCTTCTCGGCCACAGTCATGCTCGGGCTGCGTAGCACAGCCCGCCCGAGGGCACCATAGGCTGCCAGTGTGAGCAGCAGCGGCAGGCCGCAGCCCAGCCCCGCCAGCACCAGGCTGTATGCTCTGTAGGCCTCCAGCCTGTGACCTGCTGTCCCCAGACACTTGATGCAGGCCTCGGGCCTGGCCACGCTGCAGTTGCCTACCCCCTGCTGTGGCCTCTTCAGGTGGGAGAAGCTGAGTGTGGGCATGGCCAGCAGGGCGGCCAGGACCCAGCCGGCGGCGCTCACGGCCCAGGCGTGCTTGGGCCGCAGGTGGCTGCGGGTGAAGAAGGGGTGCACGATGCCCAGGTAGCGGGTGAGGCTGATGCAGGTGATGAAGATGACGCTGCCCAGCAGGTTGCAGGTGAAGAGGAAGCGCTCCAGGCGGCATGCGGCCTCCCCGTAGCGCCAGTGCTTGGGGGGATAGAGGTAGGCCGCCAGCGGGGGCAGCGTCAGGGCGCAGAGCAGGTCACTGACTGCCAGCTGGACTGAGAAGACCACGGCGGGGTACCATGGGCGCTGCTCCCGGGTGCTGAAGCGGTACAAGGCCAGGCCATTGCTGGCCAAGGCCACCAGGAACTGAACCACCAGTATGGGCCACAGGAAGTCTTCCTGGAACCCACTGAGGATGTGGTCGGCAGCTGCCAAGAAGTTGGCAGGGCAGGACTTGGCATCTGTGGGCAGAAGGTGTCACCAGCTGAGCCCTATTCTCCCACAAGGCAGCTCCTGCTGCCCCCAGAGCCCACATCTGCCATGGCATGGATTCCTTGACACAAGTTCTTTCCCCTCCCTGGAAGGAGAGCGGGCTCCACTCCTCTATATGGACAGGACTGGGCTCAGAGCCAGGGTTCTGCATTGGCCCCGAGGGACCCGCTGAGGTGGGCCAGGCAGTCTTGGAGCTCAGGGTCCACCGGTAACACGGGCAGTGGCCACCCTGCTCCCGCACCACACCTGCCTATGGGAGTCCCTGGCCTCACTAGAGGCCTCCTCCTCAAAGTCCAGCCCCAGCAAGGCCTGCTGGCTCCGCTTCAGACCTGTGCCGTCTGAGGCCCCACCGGGGTGGGGTCCAGCCCCGGCATCCTGCCCTGACCTCAGCACTAGCCGCCGCCCACAGCCTCTTCTCCCTGTGGCCACCAGAGGGCACCTGCGAGCGCCAGAGTCCTGTCCCGTCCTTTTGCTTCCAGGTGCTCACACTTGGCCATAGAGTTGCCGCCAAAAAGCCAGACTCACCCCACAACGTCCCACAAGAACACTCCCGCCCACCATACCCCCCAGTGCCACCCTCTGTGCTCCACAACTCACTCCCTCGCGCCAGCCCACCCTGGCTTCCCGGCTGCTTTGCAGGCTTGTGCCTTGGGACCTTCGTACCCAGACCATCTTTTTTTCTCTCTTTTTTTTTTTTTTGAGACAAGAGTCTCGCTCTCATCACCCAGGCTGGAGTGCAATGATGTGATCTCAGCTCACTGCAACCTCTGCCGCCCCCGTTCAAGTGATTCTCCTGCCTCAGCCTCCTAAGTAGCTGGGACTACAGGCAACCACCACCACGCTTGGTTTAATTTTAAATTTCGTATTTCTAGTAGAGATGGGGTTTCCCCATGTTGGCCAGGAGGTCTCGAACTCCTGACCCCAGATCTGCCCGCCTCAGCCTCCGAAAGTGCTGGGATTACAGGCATGAGCCACTGCACCTGGCCTCACCCAGACTTTCTTGAGGCTCCTTTCCCCACGTCTGTGGTCTTGCCTGTGAGAGGGCCCAAGGCCACCCTAACCACTATGTGCCCTCCACCTTCCCTTCCCTGCGGTATTTTCCCCCATACCCTGTGCCTCACTCACCTGATGACAGTGAGAAAAATCTCCCTCTTTCGGAAGAATGGGGGGACCTGCTTACACACTACTGGCGCCAGTGCTCACCGCAGTGCCCAGGGCCCAGCAGCACAGGGGCACTCACTCCTTGTACACCCCACTCCTGCCACTGCAGGCGGGGGCAGGCTCCTCCGGAGGACTCCCAACGCCAGCCTGCTCAGGGAGGAAGTGTCGTCTAGACTGGCTTTTTTTGGAGACAGGATTTCACTGTCACCGAGGCTGAGGTGCAATCACAGCTCAGTGCAGTCTCGGACCTCCTGGGGTCGTGATCCTCCTGCCTCAGCCTCCCCAGTAGCTGGAATCACAGGCTCACACCACCAGGTTTGAGACAGAGTTTTGCTCGTTGCCCAAGCTGGAGGGAAACCTCCGCCTCCCAGGTTTAAGTGATTCTCCTGTCTCAGCCTCCCGAGTAGCTGGGATTACAAGCACGTGCCACCAGGTGCGGCTAATTTTGTATTTTTAGTAGCAATGGGGTTTCTGGTTGGTCAGGTGTTCTCAAACTCCTGACCTCATGTTCTGCCCGCCTCAACCTCCCAAAGTGCTGGGATTACAGGCGTGAGCCACTGTGCCCAGCCCCAGATCTAGGTTTTACCAATACCCATGCCCCACCGCCCCCACCTCCTGACAATCTGCAGGGCTAACCACAGACCCCCCAAGAAAGCCAACATGCCTTCTCCTTACCTGAGACGTTGGCTGCCATGCTCCCGTGCCGAGCCTCAGCCTGTGTCCGCCACCCAGTTCCGCAGCTCCTCCCCGTCACTGGTGGCTTAGCGGGCCCTGCCCCTGCCCCAGCCCCACCCCCAGTTCCTGGCCCAGCCAGCAGAGCAGGCCAGGGTGCCTTTCCACCCACGTTTCCTTCCTCATTGTGCACAGCCCTCTTGAGGTTCAAGCTCATCTGCTGAAAGCGTGACCTGTCTGCTTGCAGGGCTCTCGGTGGGACTGTGGGGAGGGGCCTCATGACCACTGCTGCCACCAATGAAACCAACCCCACGCGGGGTAGGGGAGAGACCCAGCTTCCAGGAAGAAACCAGGTGGGAGGGACTCCCGGGGTCACCTGCCCAGGCGACTCTGGGTTGCTTTGCAGGGCTCCAGGATCCCCCATCCCAAACGCCGATGTGGACCCCTGGCCAGTTCAGTTGTTTATTGGAGTGGAAGGGTGGGGGACACGACTCCTTTATGAAAGGAAACCGAGGGCCATGTCTCTCAGGCCCCAATCTGGGGCGTTCAATTCATCCACCGCTCCGGTGCGGCTTGGGCTCAGGTCACTCTCTTCCGTGAGCGGCCCCGGCCCTGGCCTCGCCCACCATCCCGGGAAGCCCCTCTGGGCCCCTGCCTGGTCTGGGACCCCTGGGGCTTGTCCTTGGGCTTGGGAAACTTCTGGTCACAAAGACGACCCCTGCCTCGATCTGTTTCCCGCCGCTTCCGGCCTGGAGACTTGGCAGGCCGTTTCCGCTTGGCCTCGGGGAACAGGTCTGTGGGGAGAGACAGCGTCAGGGTTCCCAGGGACAAGGACAGGCTCTGGGTGCCCCGCTGCAGACTCCACTCCATACCTTCACTAGGCGCCTCGCCGACCGCCTGGCAGAAATACTCGATGTCATCATCTTCCTGGTCATCGTCCTCCCCACCCAACCCCAGGCTCGCCGTCCTCGAAGGGATCCCAGAGGCCCCTTCATCACCATCCCCGACCCGTGCCTTCTTCATGCCCTCCAGGCTCTTCTTCCTGGAGGATGGGGTGGGGGTCAACGTGGCTGCCCACCCCAGGGATCCCCCAGCCCCGCCGTGCCCAGCCCTGCCCGGACCTGTGGGCCTCCCGCTGCTCCTGCTTGCGCTGCACGTTCTGGGCCTGCTGGGCCTGCCTCTGTGCCTTCAGCCGCAGCTTCTTCTCCTTGGCTTCCAGGATGGCCTGCAGCTCCTCCTCCGTCTTGCGCACTGAGTCAGGAGACGCGGGTCACCAAGGTCCGGATGTAGCCCAGCACCCATGACCCCGCACCCCCGCGGGCCCCGGACTCACCAAAACTGTGGAACATCACTTTGCCCTCCCCAACGCCCTCCTGGACCTTGATGAGCTGCAATGTCATCCGCGGGCCGATCTAGGGGGATGAGGGAGAAGTGTCAGCCCATTGTTGGGACTGGGGGAACCCAGGGGTCCCCTGCCCCGGGCCTCACCTCAGTGAGCCGCACTGCACTCTGCTGGGCTCGCATGTTGCCACGGCCAGCAACAGCCTGAGGCAGCTCTGTGATGTTGTGGTCGCCATCAGGCTCTGCTTCGCTCTCCGACAGCCCCGCGCCCCTGTGTGTGGGACATACAGGGCTCAGTGGGGGAGCTCAGGCTCCCGGGCCTGTTCTGGGGTCCCCGGGCGGCAGTGGCCTTCCGCCCTGTGCCCTCCTCACGTGGCCAACAGCTCGCTGATGTCCTGCAGGCGGCTCATGTTGGGGAACTTTTCCTGGAGAAGCTTCTTCATCCCGCGACTCGCGCCCACAGGAACAACTTTGATGCTACTGCAGGAACATGAGTAGACGGCAACGGGGTGGTCAGGGGACACGGGGCTGGCAGTCCCCATCCCACCCTTCCCACAGTGCGTCAGGGCGTTTACTTTGAGACACAGCAATCACAGAGTCTCAGCAGGAGTGCTGTCATCAGCCGCACGCGGGGGCCCCCACCCGGCACCCCCTCGTCCCCCATTCCACTGGGACACTCACTAGTGGCGGAAGTCCAGCTCCTGGGAGTCAGGGTTGTAGTCAATGAGCAGGCAGCGCTTGATGGTGTTCAGGTTCACCTGGAAGGTGAGGAAGAGAGCATGCTCCAGTAGGCTCACGGCGAGTATGGGCAAGTGGGGGCTTTGGGGGATGCACGCACTGTACATGGACTGTGGCACCAGCTGGAAATGCTGCCTCCAGCTCACACCTGCAGTTTCAGCTACTCCAGAGGCTGAAGTGGGGGGACTGCCTGAGCCCAGGAGTTCAAAACCAGCCTGGGCAACATAGCGAGTCTCCACGTCTACAAAAAGTAGATGGAAAAATGTGCTGGACATGGTGGCTCATGCCTGTAGTCTCAGCTACTTGGGGGGCGGAGGCTGCAGGATTGCCCGCGCCCAGGAGTTCAAGATCAACGTGGGGAGACGTGTCTCTTAAAAAAAAAAGGAAGAACGTGCAGGTTTGAACATAAAGTATAATAATTAAAAAAAAAAAAAAAAAAAAAAAAAAAATCAACCGGGCACGGTGGCTCAAGCCTGTAATCTCAGCACTTTGGGAGGCCAAGACGGGCGGATCATGAGGTCAGGAGATCGAGACCATCCTGGTTAACACGGTGAAACTCCGCCTCTACTAAAAAATACAAAAAAAAACTAGCCAGGTGAGGTGGCGGGCGCCTGTAGTCCCAGCTACTCGGGTGGCTGAGACAGGAGAATGGCGTGAACCCGGGAAGCGGAGCTTGCAGTGAGCTGAGATCCGGCCACTGCACTCCAGCCTGGGCTACAGAGCGAGACTCCGTCTCAAAAAAAAAAAAAAAAAAAAAAAAAAGGAAAGAAGAAATCCTGGTCCCTGAGCCCGTATTAGACTCTTTGATGACTGATTATCTTCCATAATTTCTAAGTCCCACCTGAGAGTCACTAGTGACAAGGATTAGGAGCTAGAACTCAGGAGCCAGACGAGTTTAAAAATCCAGTCCTGCGCCCTAGAATCTAAAATCAGCATCTTGGCCAGCCTCAGTTTTGCTTTTTTTTTTTTTTTTTTACAGCGTCTCGTTTTGTCGCCCAGGATGGAGTGGCATGAACACAACTCACTGCAACCTCGACCTCCTGGGCTAAGGTGATCCTCACCTCAGCCTCCCCAGTAGCTGGTACTAAAGGCATGCATCACCACACTGGGCTTTTTAAAAAACTACTTTTTGTAGACATGCGGTCTCACTATGTTGCACAAGCTTATCTCAAAGTCTTGGGCTCAAGCAATCCTCCCACCTCGCCCTCTCAAAGTACTGGGATTACAGGCCTGAGCCATAGCACTGGGCCTGCAGCTTCCCTCTGTAAAACAGGGCCATGGGAAGAGACGCTATGATCCTGCTCAGTCCAGCACTCAACACACACCGGGAATAAAGCTCCATCAGTATTTCTTTCCACCTGCTGGAAAAGGCGCAGCTTGTGGGGTGGGGAGCGCTGGGGGCATCTCTGGACACTTTTATCCAGCATCATCAGACACAGGAGTGGGATTTGCCCTCAGGACTCAGCAGACCCAGGAGCTCTCAGCCTCAGAACTGGGAGGACTGAGCAATCCATCTGAGGGCCTGTGGGACCTCTACCCGCTGCACCCACCCATACCTGCCACCTCGCCAGGCCAGACCCACCTTGTGCACGTTGATGGAGGGGAACAGGTTCTGGAACATGGTGGCCATGAGCTTCACATGCATGCCGTGGGGGCCAAAGCTGTTGAGTACCAGGAGGGGTGGGTGGGCAAACTGCTGCTCGTGCATGCGGTGCCGGCGCAATGAGGAGACCACATCACGTACCAGTGAGTACTGTAGGGCAGGAGTGAGGGGGTGACCACCAACCACACATGGCTGGGAACACCCCCAAGTCTAGCTCTGACCCCACATGGCTTTGTACCACCTCCACCCCTCTCACCTTCTTGACCTGGAAGGTCAAGGTGGGGCCTCCTGGGAGGCGCATCAACTTCTGCAGGAGAAAAAAAGATCAGTGATGCTGGAGGGGTCTAGCAGAGGAGTCTGCGAGTAGGCACCTTTGCCCCATCTCTTCTTCAGAGCGTTTACTTTGAAGCCAGAAATCACAGCAGCTCAGAGGCACATGTGCTCATCATAAGAGAAGGGGGAAGTGGGGGTCTGGGGGAGATGAAGGGTGAGGGCATCTACTCACAAAGTAGACACTGGTCTCTGTTTTGCTCAGGATCAGAAAGTGTGTGACCCCGAGGGGCCCAGCCACTGCCACACAGTCTTTCAGCGAGTTCTTCTTACGAACCTGGAAATGACAAAAAGAAAAAAAGAAAACATAGCTTATCCCTTATTGCGATGACTATAAGCTGACGGTGCAAATCCTGTTATGGTCTGTCTAGCATCAGACCCTTTCAACAAGCCCAGAGGAGCAAAAGGATCTTAGCTTTTAGAGTCAATGAGACGCGGATTTGAGTTCTAACTCTTACCTCTTGCTCACAGCGCATTTTCCCATTGACAAATAAGTGAACTGAGGCCCAGCAAGGTTAACTAACTTGCTTCAGGTACTGGGGAGAAGACAGTTTCCAACCCTACTTTGCTGCCTCCAGATTCTAGCCTCTTTTTTTTTCGACACGGTCTCCTCCTGTCGCCTAGGCTGGAGTGAGGTGGCACGATCCTGATTCACTGCAGCCTTAATTTCCTGGGCTCAAGGAATCCTCCCACCTCAGCCTCTCGAGTAGCTGGAACCTCAGCCTCTCGAGTAGCTGGAACTACAGGCATGCACCACCATATCCGACTAATTTTTCTATTTTTTGCAAAGACGGGGTTTCGCCATGCTGCGCAGGCTGATCTCGAATTCCTGGGCTCAAGTGATCCTTCTGCCTCAGCCTCCCAAAATACTGGGAATACAGGCATGAGCCACCACGCCTGGCTGCAGATTCCAGTCTTAACCGTCAGGCTTAGGCGACCAACTATCTCCCAAGCTGCGCGTCCTCACTCCAGCTCAGCAAAGCCCTGAAAGGTAGAGATGACGCTCCCCATGAGGGTCACTTTTTCCAGCCAGGGAGACTGAGGCCTCTCACAGTTTTACAGCGGGAGCCATTACTGCAGCTGCGAAGACGGGGCCCAGGGTGGGTGGAGGCGGGCTGGGGGTGGCGTACAGACCTGCAGACGGCTGGCAGTGAGCGGCTCCATGACCCGCCGCACGTCCAGGCTGAGCTGCCGGATGTTGCGACCCGTACAGCCCCGCGTGAACACGAACGAGTGCGGGTTCGCGGCATAGGCCTCGAGGTTGCGGAGCTGCGCCTGAGCGCGGGCGCGCTTCTGGTGCCGGGACTGCGGTGGCAAGAGACAAACGGTGAGCGCCGCGACCTCGGTCGGGACCCCGCCTGCGTCCCCTGCCTCCCAAACCTCCGGGCCTTACCCTCCCTGACTGTCCCATGCTGCTGTGTCCTCCACGACGCCTCCTGTGT